CAACATCAAGTAAAGGCTTACTGTAATGGACTCCTGAGACATGAGGAAGATTGCGGAAATGGTCTTTGCAGGAAGAAGAAACTTTGAGCTTAAAGTAGTGAAATTGCTGCCAGTTTTACCAGTTTGTGTCTTCTGTCATTTGCAAACATTGAAATTTAACTGCTTGATCTCAGAACTAGAGAGAAAACAACTGGGAACTACTTTAGGTTGGGAAGACAAGGATGACTTCTGTAATGAGGTGCATTTTAGTTGAAGCCTGATGACAAGTAGATTGGAACCAGATTATAAAAAACTTTATATACTATGCTACAGAGTACGGACCTTCCCCTTTAGGGTTGAGAAAACTATTGGTAGTTTTTTAGCAGGATATGATTATACTTTTGTTAGAGTTGTGACTTTGTGTAGAGAATAAGATGAGATGGGAATTTTAAAGACTTACTAATAGCCCCAGAGGAATCCAGGTTGAGGGAATACAGATGGAGATCTTTCCGATCTCTCATGCTGTGCTTCAGATGGTAGTTGGCTGAAGTGTGAAATACAGAGGACATTCTGCAGAAGGTCATTAGTCCTGCTTGCCCTATGCCCTCCTCACCTCAATGCATACACACATTCACTCCACACAAAGCTAAATAAATACATTACCTACCACTACTGCCTATATAGATAGATCCCCTTATGCAGGAAGCATTGAGTTCCCATTATGTAAGGCCTATTTTTTTCTAACTATGGCCCATGGGCCAAATCCAGTCCATTGCCTGCTTTTTATAAATAAGTTTATTAAAACATAGATATGTTCATTCATGTATTTGTAGCTGATTTCACTTTACAGTAAAACATAGCTGAGATAGCACCTGAATGAATGACCCACAAGCCTCAAAAATATATATTTATTTTTGGTCTCTTACAGAAAATGCTAGTTTAGACCAGGGACTGGCAAACAATTCTTGCTAATAGGAAGGAGGAAGGGACTCTTAATATTTCTAAGGATATTATATCTTTGGAGAATTGACTTACCTGGTAAATAACCAAAAGTTTTCCAAATCTTGTTAGTTCTTTTCAGTGATTATGATCCAAGAGGAGGAATATACAATTAGTTAGGAAAAGCTGCTTTGGAATTGCCAATCTAGATGAACTGCTTGGTTGTTGGGAGTAGTAGCATTAAAATATGAGATTAAAATATTGGCTTTGTCCGAAACCGGTTTGGCTCAATGGATAGAGCGTCGGCTAGGAGACTGAAGGGTCCCGCGTTCGATTCCGGTCAAGGGCATGTACCGTGGTTGTGGGCACATCCCCAGTAGGGGGTGTGCAAGAGGCAGCTGATCGATGACTCTCTCTCATCGATGTTTCTAACTCTCTATCTCTCTCCCTTCCTCTCTGTAAAAAAATCAATAAAATATATTTAAAAAAAAAATTGGCTTTGCTTACCTATGTGCAAAAGTATTTAGAACCAGTGAAGCTGGAGAGCTCTACAGCTCTTTTTCATTTAACCAGAAAAAGGAAGAAGAAAACCAGAGCAAGATGAAAATGTGATTTAGTTTTAAGGAAAGTAGAAGGCAAATGTGGCAGTAAACTTCAGATAATTCTGTGAAAGGAAGGAAGGGTGCAAGAATAGAAAGAATCCGCAGCTAGGGCCCCAGATGTACTAGATTACATGCCATTTTACTTGGGACCCATCCTTTCCATGCTCTTAAAGAACGTTTTTCTGGTGGTGTTTGTCTTGAGTAGCTGAGAGAGGATGGCAGACAGTTTTGTGAATTTCATAATTTTAGTTTCTGACTGTTGAACTGATGACTAAAAGGAGTGGAATGTTGGCCTTTCTTTGTTTTATATCTGTTTGTTCAGGAGCTATACCAGAAAAGCCCTTTTTAGACTAAATAGAATGAGAGCTGTGGGCTCCATGTATGTGCGAGTATGTATCTTCAGTTTTTAAAGCCCTTCTCTCCTCCAGGTTATCCTACCTATAAAGAAAAAATAAAGAAAAGGCCTGGGGGCCGCCCAGAAGTGATTTACAACTATGTCCAAAGACCCTTTATTCGAATGTCCTGGGAGAAGGAAGAAGGAAAGAGCCGGCATGTAGACTTTCAATGTGTAAAGAGTAAGTCTATCACCAACCTTGCAGCAGCTGCTGCAGATATTCCCCAGGACCAGCTAGTAGTCATGCATCCAACTCCGCAAGTGGATGAGCTGGACATCCTCCCCATCCACCCCCCTTCCGGCAACAATGACCTTGATCCTGATGCACAGAATCCAATGCCGTGATGCCGATGTTCTTGAAACCATAGCATGCTACTCTTCACGGTGACGTTGCACTCTCCTCATTCTGCACTGCAAGGCCACTCTCTTCATCATGAGATGCACATGTTTAGGATACTGCAGTGTAGGCTTTTTTAAAGACCAAAGGTAGCTGAATGGTTTTTTAAATGCATACAACTCTAGCATCCTGAGGTTCCAGTTATATAAATGTATTTGTTTACCAGTAGGTTTGTGAAATTGGTTCTTTGTATAGGGGACAGTCCTTTTCACACATTTAGATCTTTTCAGAAGTGGTGATGGAAATTGGCAGCTGGGGTATTTTCAGTCTAGATTGATATGTCATACCCCAGATAAAATGCAGAATATTACATAGTTGCACTTTATAAAGGGTGGTTAAATGGAACTGTTGAAGCCATTTTTATAGTTGTGATGCACAATGTAACTTTAAGTGCTTCTATCAAAGTATTCATTCAGTAAAATGTGTATCGTTTACTGCCCATGTTGAGCAAAAAAAATATCATTGGGCTTATTTGAATGATTAGAATGAGATTCAGTGCCCATATGTTAAGAGTTCAGTTATCTCCAATGCCGGTTTCACCCTTTTAGAGTGAGTCACACGCAGGGAGTGTGAATATCAGGGGTGGTTTATTATCCAGTCTGCCTTACCCTTAATCTGTTAAAATATTTATTTACTAATTTTTTTCATAAGAGTTATGGGATATAGGAAAATGAAGTGTTTGCTCTTCATTTACTAAATGATTGTAAACTCGAGTTTTTCATCAAAATAAAATTCCATTGTTTTAATGTTTCTGATCAACTTTATAACCATTTTTAGTCTCATAATTAGCAGACTTCGTGTCTTCCTGATGTCAGTATAACTGGAAAACAAAACAGCTCATGGAACTCAAATTTGGTATGTGTGTGATGAGGCACTTAAGATTCCCTACTAATCATAAAATACTATAAATCTAAAACATTAGATCTGAAAATATGTCTTTTTCTAGTTCAGCCTGATGTGAAGGGTGAAATACCTTCACTAGATCGTACAGTAAGTTTCAGAGCCAGTTTCTGATACAAGTTCGGTGCTTTTTCCATTTTTACTCTGCAGCCCAACTGCAGAAGGAAGCAGATGTAGTCAGGTGCTTTGAGGCTGGGGTTACAGTGTTCGGAGTCATCCAGCTTTGGGGGGAGGAAGTTGTAGCAGCCAGTTATGTCTAGGATTGAATTTTGTGTAACATCTGTTTTCATGAAAATTGCAGCAATTTGGAGATTAACTACTTCAACAAAATAGCTAAGCTTTTTAAGATAGGAATGATGCCAGTTCCAGAATTGGCATGGGTCATTCTTAAAACCCACAGGAGAAAACTGATAAACCAGCCCTGTAGCATGTTTTTCTAATTATTTGAAATGTGAACAGTATTTATAGAACAAGGGAAACATTTATTAAAAATATTTAACTGTCTAATACATTATACTTTAACCCATATTTATAGTAAAGGATTCTTACAAGGAAGAATAAACAGCTTTATGATACAATTAGTATAAGAAATATCCACATGGGGGACTTCTTTGTAGTGTAAAAACACCATACATCTGAAATGACCATTTGCATATAAAAGCTACCAATGATGCTTCTGTGCACAATGATTAAAAAATTCAACACAAACAGAATCCAAAATATACAATTAATGCAAGCTATCCACAGCTAGCCCAATCAATGATGAGGAAATACTGGAGCAGGCTTAGTTCCACTGTGTCTGAAGTTACACATAGTAAGATTGACTTGTATCAATGGCTCTGAGATGGCTTTTATGAAGACGGTACATAAAAGCTGTTCTCTCCTTACCCAGTAAGCTTTACAGACTGTAAAGCTCCACCAGTAATGCACTTTGATACTGTAGCTGTTGCTCAAGCAACACGTAGTGTTTACAGCGGCCATGGCAAGTCGCTAAAGTCAACAGGGCCGCCCAGCCCAGCATCTGCTTCCAAGAGGCTCATTATGACAGCCATTGCTGCTTCGTCGTTACTGGGACTACTTGAGCCTTGATCGTTGTCTATCATGTCTATGCCTATATGAGGGTTCTCCCCTGTGGAAGGAGAGAAAGACTGGTTAGTGGTGATTCCAAAGTGTGTTTACCTTAGTAAGCAATTCCTAAGCACACATTTATCTTAACAGTAGGATGAGAGCAGCTCCTTTTGGTGCTACATTGCCATATACATATACTTTTTTAACTTAGAGTTTTTAGAGGGAAACTTTTTAGAAACAGTATTTCGATAGTAAAGATTAAAAGCATCTGAGTTGACCTCAATTTAACTTTGATATAACCAATTATAGGGATGGAATTACAAAAGGAAAGAAATAGGAAGGTAGATTAGGAAAAGGAGATCTAGAAAGAATTACAGAAAAGATGGATGGGATAAGCGGACCTTTCATTGCTAAATGACCTTACTACCCTCTGAAACATACTGTCACCTTTCTAGGCTTCACCGCTAAACCTCTGAAGAGGTTATGCCCTGACTTGGTGGAGAAAGTCTGTGTCTAAGCTGCTGTATCTCCCAAGTTCAGGGACAAACTTGCATACTCCATCAGAACTCAACTTTGAAATAAAGTTTACACAAATTTTAAACTTTGTTCTTATCCAGTTTATCTAGAACAAGCTTGTTTGGTATATTTACATTGTATTAAAATGGACATGTCAGATGTGTTATAAATGTACTGTCATGGAAATGAATAAAATGCCACTTACCAAGAATAGAAGAACTATCAGAATATGGATAACCTGGGTGCTCCTGAGCCTGCCCTGGCAATAGGCCACTGGAAGGAATGTCTGGAGTCCCTCCATTTAAAATCTACAAACAAAAGTGAAGTTTTCACATCAATAGTTTCGGTCAGTATATGCTTACCAAGAATCATGCTGAAAAATAGCTTCAAGTGGCTTCAGTTTCCTATTGGATGATTTCAGACAAACTGTTAAGAATGGTCACAGTAAGAGAACAAAACACTCCCCAAAACTGTTCTTTTCTCTTCATTAGATTCAGCCTACGCAGGCAATTTGAAGGCTGAATAAAATCAGCGTTCAGTTACCTTGGATCATGCTGCTCACATGTTTCTCTAGGGCACATGTGTCAAACACAAGGCCCGCGGGCCAAATCCATCCCGCCAGGCCTTGCAATGTGGCCCGCACCGCGCTGTCATCACTGCACTCCGCTGCGTTTCCATCACAATGACAGTTTATGACTGTTCAGTAAACCATTCGGCCCGCGATTTAGGCTGGATTTTAGATTTTGGCCCCTTCTCTGATTGAGTTCGACACCCCTACTCTAGGGCCAAGGACTAAACCTCAGAAAGCCCAGCTGGGCAGTTCCCCTCTAAGGGAGTAAGACTTATCACAGCAACAGATATTGCTGAACAAGAAATGAGAGACTTAAGAAACTGGGAAGAGGCACAGCTCTGAGGAATCACAAATGAAAAAGTGCTAGTAGTAAATCTCTCTGCACCAGTTAACTTCAGGAACGCTTCCAGTAACCAGTGGTTTAAGTTCTTAAGGTCCTGAAAAGCATTATTACTCCTCAGTAGCAGAATTCTCATTTTATCTGCCTTCCTTCCCCACTGAGTTGAGTCTCATAGGAAAGCACCTGGGAGAAGTATTTGGATGTAGGTGAGAGAAACTGGTAGCTTCTTGAATTTCAGCAGAGGTGGTGATTTCAGGCCTTGCCAGTAGGTGGCATTACAATTTATCTCTGCAGTTCAAATGTTTGGTCTAGAGACCCCTTTACACAATTTAAAAAATGAGGACTTCAAAGAACTTTTGTTTATGTGGGTTATATTTATCGATGCTTAGCATATTTAAAGTTAAAAATAAATTCTTAAAATAACCTATTACATGTTAATATGAATACAATTTTAATGAAATTTTTTTTCCAAAATAACAAAATTAGTGCAAGTGTCATTGATTATATTTTTTAAAAATCCAGTGTCTGCCTTGTAGAATTTGACAGGGTTCTCATATTTGCTTCTTCATTTAGTCTGTTTAGATGTGTTGTCTGGTTATAATATATGAAGGAAATCTGGCCTCCTGCTTATATAGTTGGAAAAGGAAGGTATATTTTAAGTTTTCAAATAACTGTGGAATTAATCTTTGAGATTACATCAAAACTCAATAAGTAGAAGTTTCTCAAAAGTTTAGTTGCAATGTGGAATCTGAAACCACATCAATGAAGTTTTTATACTCCTGTTAAAACCCATTGGTATATCCATCTTAGGATGGATCTTTTTACCTCTGCATGATGGTAAAACACCTTGCATTGACACACTCTCCCTCGAATATGCCTGCACCTTTTCCATCCGCGCCCCCCCCCCCCCCCCCGCGCGGGTATCTCCTAAATTCTAAGGGACCCCATGAGACTGCAACCAGGGAAGTAATGGGCATTGGCATCTTCCCAGGCTTAACCCCTGAACCTGTCTCCAATGTTCCCCTTTCTCTGACTTTCCAGTGAGCTGACAGCAGTCCCTCCTGTTGCTTCTTCTGTCCCAAGTCTCTCCTTGTTTCACTGCCCCCAGTTTAATAAATTTATTCTCAAAATCAAAAATAATCTTGGCTTATTTGTCATTTGGAAAATACTGTTTCACTGAGTTATGCAAATCTTTCAAATGTTGACACATTTCATTGAACAACATCAGAATATCTTAATCGTTAATATCTAAATCTGCCCTAGCTGATTTGGCTCAGTGGATAGAGCGTTGGCCCTCAGACTAAAGGGTCTCGGGTTCAATTCCAGTCAAAGGCAGCACATAACTATGTTGCAAACTCGACCCCAGGGCATGTGTGGAGGCAGTCAGTCAATGTTTCTGTGTCTCTTCCCCTCCCAACCACTCTAAAAATCAATGGAAAAATGTTCCAGGTGGGGGTAGGGGCGGAGGGATTAACAAAATAAATACCTAAATCATCAGAAATATCTTTTAAACAGGTTCTTACTGAGTTTTAGAGAGAGAGAAACATCAATAATGAAAGATTCATTGATCAGCTGCCTCCTACAGGCTCCCTACTGGGACCAAGCCTGTGTGCGACTCTGCATGTGCCCTGACTGGGAATTAACTGTGATCTCTTGGTTCATAGGTCGACGCTCAACCATTGAGCCACACCGGCTGGGCAGAAATGTTTTTTAAGTTTTAGAAAGCTGTTGAGCTCAAAGTAGTAGATGCGTTTTCTGAAAATTCTAATTTTTGCTTGAAAGCTGTAATTTTATCATTGGCAGTAAATACTGTCAGTTGTTTTCCTTGAAGTCACAGGTTCACTTCATTCATTTTCAAGGAAATGTATGCATATACCTAGGTTTGAATGGCCATAGTTTACAATAGGAAAAATAAGTGTTCTGTGAAGAAAGCCGTTTGTGCAGCTCAGAACTCACAGGGTCAAAGGGGCTTTTCAATGTGTTACTGCTTTTTTTCAGAGAGGAAGGGGGAGAGAGAGAGAGTTAGAAACATAGATGAGAGACATCGATCAGCTGCCTCCTGCACACCTCCTACTGGGGATGTGCGTGCAACCCAGTTACATGGCCTTGACAGAATCAAACCTAAGACTCTTCAGTCCACAGGTCAACACTCTATCCACTGAGCCAAACCGGTTTGGGTATTCCAGGGTTTTGTACGTTATGTTTACTGCTTCATTAAGGACATTCTTAAATGAAACTGTCTTTAAAATGTTTATTGCTTTCTCCATTTGAGTATATGGCAGTGAGGAAATACGACTACCGCTAGTGCAGTTTGGTGTCCCTGCCCTCATTTTTGCAAAGGCACCAGCAGTTTTACCCAACACTGCTTTTGTACTATTGGTTCACATATCAACACAGTGAGAATCTGGCCTTATTATGAAAAGAGTTCGGACCTTGTAGAGCCCTGAAAGGATCTACAAACAAGTGAAGTTTTCACATCACAGATGACAGGGAAGGACTGGCTGCTTTGTGTGGACCTATTGCCTCTGGAGCCCGGACTCCCTGGAAACTATGAGGCTCGCTTAGCCTCCCCTTCAGCTGAACCCACTGAAACAGCTGGCAAGGAGCTGAACGGCTCACATTTGGACCTGCCAAATGTGAAAGTGACTGAGAAAGGCTGGAGGCATCCTGGCTCTGTGTACTGGTTACTGCTGCTGTCACTTTTAACTCTACCTTGTTTAGTCTACTTGTATGAGTTCTGCTGCTGAGGACTCAATACATTCAGAATTTCTTCTCATACCCGCTTTTATAAGATCAAAGAAAAGGGACTTTTTTTTTTTTTTTTTTTTAAGAAATGCTTTAAAAATACTTGGAGCTTTGTGGTGCTGAACATGCTCTTTCATCTCCGGCAGATACTGGTGTAAAAAGGAATGAGAAGTCAAGATACTCCAAGATAGTTTGGAATCAGACTTTTTAAATGCTGGGCTGTATCTTTCACTCTGGGGTGCCTAGGTTTTGTTACCTATGAAGTTGTGAGGATAATATGAAAGAATGTACTTAAGCATTATACTGGATTGAAATAGTGGGATTCCTGATGGTACCAGGAAGTCAAGTGCCTAAAAGTTCCACTGAGAAGTAGAGGAGGGGAACAGGCCTAAGGAGAGAGGGGATCCCATATGGAGGAAGGACCCAGGAGTGCAGCCTGCAGCCCAGACTTCATCTCATCAATGCTATTTCAACGTTGTTAGCAAAGGCCAGGCACAGTCACATATCTATAATAATAAAGTGTAATATGCTAATTAGACCCGACATCCTTCCAGACGAAGCCAGGGCTGAGAGGGAAGCCCGGGTCCAGGGTGCTAGAGGAAAGCTGGTGCGGGCAGCCGGGGGAGGGAAGGCCTGCACTTGCATGAAGTTCGTGCCTCAGGCCTCTCGTTATTTCACAATAGGAGTTCCTGCACTAAGCTGCTGGCTGTCCCAACCTATATTAGCCTCATCAAAAAGAAAATTAGGGCTTACCATGTTAAGTGCCCAGCCTGTTTCATCTTCCAGACACAAATATGGTGTCAGTCACTGGTGACTTAACGTGTTAAAAATAGTGCAGGATCTCAGAGCTAGCATAGGCTTCAAACCCAGGTCTATCTTTGGCCATGCACTTACCCACTCACTCACTGACTGAATTTTTTTTTTTTTTTGTTGGTAAGGGGTGGGGGGGCAAAGCCTTATTTCATACACAAACTTCTATAATAATAAAAGCATAATATGCAAATTGACCGAACAGCAGAACGACCATCCGGATGACCTTACTATGACACCCACTGGTGCCAGGCCAGCCAAGGTGGGTGCAATGCAATTGGTCAGGGGCCTGGCCATCACCCCAAGATCTTGCAGAGGGAGGCCCAGGCCACAGGGTGGTCAATCAGTCGGGGCTTCATGATCGCCCCAAAGAGGGAGGCCCAGGCTACCCCTTGGCAGCACTGTGGCAGGTGGGTGGGGCCTCCTTTTATGGGGGTGATCCATTGAGGAGCCCTGGCCCGGTGGGTGGGGCTTACCTCTTTGGGGCGATTAATCACAGGCTCCCAGACTGTGAGAGGGTATAGGCCGGGCTGAGGGCCCTCCCCCACCCTGCCCCTGAGTGCACGAATTTCATGCACCAGGCCTCTAGTTTATGTATAATAGAAGTAAACTTGCCCTGGTACATGTCATCTGTGGCCTTTTTTTTGGGGGGGGGGGGGGTGAGGGGTGGCGAGTGGCAAGATCCTTTTAGGGCTCGGCAAGGTCCAGAAGATTCATATACAATAGAAGTGAAGCTGCCCTGGCAGAAGACAGGAGTTCTGACCTTCCCTCCTCTCACCAGTGGCCCTGCCCCATCCCCCGGCAGCACCACAGCTCCTACCTGAGCCTTGGAGGAGCCCAGTTTTAAAGACCCATGTCCTGCTCTTGCTACAGTTTGTGCTTTATTAGTCCCATCTATGTAAATTGCTAGTACTCTCTCTGTGTATGTGTTCTGGAAGATGGGGGAAGACTGAAGATGCTGCAGCCTAACATTATTAACATCAGGCATCATAAATGGATTTATGATTTATAATGAACATGGACCTAGACTTGGAACTTCTCTGATAAAGATGAAACAGAGGAGTCGTTTCTAAGCCTATTCATGTGTCCCTCTAGCTAGCTCTGTGAGGGCTGGCGACTGATAAGCTGCGTGCACCTGTGCTGCCGCGCCATAGGAAACCAGGCAGCAGATCCCCACGCCCTGCAACTGCAAAGGCCTGGCTTGCCTTCCGAAACCCTGCTGGTGCATCACTGTTTCCAGTCCCTGCACTAGACACTGATGGTGTTTTCGCCCTTGAGAACTCCTGGCAGGGAACGGGATAGTTTTCTATGTGGTACTCACTAATCCTTCCCTCGTGGAAGCTCTTGAATTGCAATGGGCTGATAGCTCCCCCTCCTTAGAAGAAGCTCTCAGCTTTCCCCACTCACATGTAATCAATCCTCTAAGGATGCCAGCAAGCCACTCTAGCTCTACCAGTATGCTTTGTACCTAGCCTCACAACTGTGCATTTACTCAAGGAGGAAAAATGTTTCAGCAACCACAATTGTAATGATATATTCTCACCCCAACACTTCAGAACCTGGGCAAGAAGCTCTCTAGATTAAGAAGGGCCTTACCTTCTTGCCTCCTGGGGAAGAGGCATCAGGGGGAGGTGTACTGGTGATGTTCAGTGGGCTGGAGCCACAGCTGGAAGGTGAGGACCCTCTTATCCTGTCAGAGAAAAGAGGAGTCAGGTACATTGCCTTTCCCTTTGTTAGAGACGTGTGTGTGTGTGTGTGTGTGTGTGTGTGTGTGTGTGTGTGTGTAAGACAAGGATGAATTGGCAAACTTCTGTAAAGAGCCAGAGAGTAACTACTTTAGGCTCTCCAGGTCACAATTACTCAACACTGCCATTGTAGCTTCAATCAGCCATAGATAATTCGTAAGTGAACGGATGTAGCTGTGTTCCACAAAAAACTTTATATAAAAAATAGGCAAGCTTGGCTGGTGTGGCTCAGTGGTTGACCATCATCCTCTGAACCAGGAGGTCATGATTCAATTCTCGGTCAGGGTATATGCCTGGGTTGTGGGCTCGATCCCCAATAGGTGGTGTGCAGGAGGCAGCCAATCAATGATTCTCATCATTAATGTCTCTCTCTCCCTTTCTGAAATCAATAAAAACATTAAAAAAACAAAAAAAAAACAAAAAAAAACCAGGTGATAAACTGGATTTATCTCATGGACACCTAATCTAGGATGCAGACCTTGGAGTCAAACATCTCGCTAACAAAGCCCTTGGATTATGGTTTGGAATTCAGGGTAGAATTTCAGGTAAGTGGCCAGTTTTATTTCCTTAGAAAATCCAGATCAAGAGTTGGAGGGAACTTAAGAAGTTCATTATCTTTGATACTAAACCCATAGCAATGATTTATCTTCTTCCCTGCAAACACTGTTCAGCCAATGAGTACTCTTGGGACATGGAGGGTGCCAGAGTACTCGGTCACTCCTAGAAAGTAGCTCTGCAGTAAGTAGCATTGGTCACCTTCTAAGGCAACAGAGAAATGATGGCCCTCCCAGGCCCTTCTCAGCACAGGTGCACAGAGGGGAAGACTTAGAACCATAAATCCACATACACTTGGCAGCTGCAGGACCCAGGAAAGTGGCCTCGGCCTGGCGCTGAAGCTGGAGTTGAGGCAGAGGCTGGTGGCAGCTGTGCGGCCACCAGGCTCCTGGCTTCTCATAGATGAATGTGGCTTTTGGGTCCCCAGGGACCCATCTCCACTTCCCAGCAGCCTTTTGGCTCTTGGCCTGCACCGCCTAGTTCTGTAGATCTGTGAATGAACAAGTTCTCTCTCTCTCCTGGATCATAAGCTTCTCAAAGGATACATCTATATGCACCTTTAGGGCACACAGAGGCCTCCTAATTGCTTACTGCAAAGTGCTGACGGTCTCCACCTCTTCTTACCTCTCCCTGTGAAACCACTATTTTTCCCAGATTCCCCATCTTGGAATTGCCTTTTCATTGTTTGTTTCATCTTCAGTATCTAGTCCTTAAATTATTCATTTCTCGTTTGGAGAGCATCACCGCTGTAGGATGGGCCTCGTTCCTGGCATGCTCACCTTCCTCTCCTCCCGTTTCAACGGACTTCCACAGTGCTTACCAACACCTGTTCAGCATCCCATAATGAATGGGGTGTTACTTCCCAGTGTAAACTACTCAGCAGCATTTTTTAGTGATATTAGAAATTTCCCATCAGAGCTCTGTGGCTCCTTACAAAGACTGCCCAGTTATGTGGCCTGGTTCCTGACCCTGAATATGCCACTCACGTGCCCACCCAGTGTGTGCCCGTCTTTTCTAGAAGCAATGCCCACCTTCATCACAGAACCAACCTTTGACCAAGTTCAAAATCTAGATACCATGAACTAAATCCTGCCTGCCTCAGCCCATGTGCTCTCCCTTTTCTCTATTATAAAGAAAACAGGCTTCTCAAAGACTGTGAGATCACTGAGGTCTTGGGTGGTCTCAGCCGAACACAGGGTAGGCAGTGGCTGATGGTATCCTGGTCATCACTGTACCTGACCCCATATCTCCCTTCTGAAGTGTCATCCTTCATTCCTGTTGGATTGGAACAGAACAGCTACCCGTCAGAGCCCCATTAGAGTCCCATTACAGTCAACTGGAACACAAGGCCAGCCCCATTCGCCTGCAAATCCAGTGACAGCAAGAATTAGCAGTCGTTTTTCCTTTTCCTATGATTGTGTCCCATTAATATTTGTATTCCCAAGGACCTGGTTTCCACCTCTCCTTTTCCCAACTTCAGATGGACTTGTAATAACTACCGTATTTTTCGGACCATAAGACGCTCCGGACCATAAGATGCACCAGTTTTTAGAGAAGGGAAATGAAGAAAAAAAGATTCTGAAACAAATAGTGTCCTAAAATATTTTATGTGCATTAAAACCCAACATCACAGTCATAAACACATGTAATCAACCCTGTAAAGTAAACAGCAGCATTTAGAACCATTTTAGAGCCAGGCAAGCACACAGAGACCACACAGAGCCGGGCAAGTAAAAAAACTTTTTTTTAAAGTATATGTGTAGGCTATATTTGGACCATAAGACGCAGGGACTTCCCCCCCCCCCCCCCCCACTTCTGGGGGGAAAAAAGTGCGTCTTATGGTCCGAAAAATACGGTACTTCCCTCTCAATGACTGCTCTTAGAGTCTTAGACTTACGTAACAATTTTGAGCACTCTCTGTCAGTTTCTGTGCCAAGAACTGTCCTAAGTTCTCTCACGATCCCACAGCAATCCCCGGAGATAGATATCCCTCCCTTCCACGGCCTAAGTCAATACAGACCAAGAAGCTAAGTGAATCTCCTAAGCACCACCAAGTACCAGTTCAGCAGCGATTCTCACCCGGGGTGCCCCAAGAATTTTTAAGACATGCTATACCTGACTAGTCAGAGCACTTTGGTTTTCAAATAAAAAAATGACAACACAACAATGGCTGTCCAGTGTGAATGATTTAAAATTATACCATTTTTTTTGAGGGGTTAGATTGGCAAAAAATATATATATATATATTTCTGTGGTGTGCTGCAGAATTTTAGTCACTAGTTTGTGTGTGCCATGGGAAGAAAAAGGTGGAAAACTGCTAAAGTAGAGGCCCAAGATGCACGTCCAGGCATATGTCCCTTTCTCTCCTGTAAAGAAGTCCTGCCCAGGGAAGTTTCCATCAGGAGCTGAAGGGCCTGGTCTCCGCTACACCCCAGGCAGTTTTGTGATCGGAGAAGCTAATGCTTTGAAAGGCCAGATTTCGGCTCGCTTGCAGTCCTGGGATGCCAGTGTTCACCGTCCTCACCGGGAAGCACCCTGAGTCACCCACCAGGTCACTAGAGTTCCCTTTATCTCTGGGCTGTTTTGGGTTTAGTCTCTTTATTTAAGGCAGATTTCTCAGTCTCAGCACTACTGTCAGTTTGAACTAGATTTTTTTAAAAAAATATATTTTATTGATTTTTTACAGAGAGGAAGAGAGAGGGATAGAGAATTAGAAACATCAATGAGAGAGAGACATCGATCACCTGCCTCTTGCTTTTTGTTGGGGGCGGGGTGGGGGAGAGGCACTTCTGTGTACTGTAGGTTACAACTATGTACATCCAGTTATGTAGGATGTTCAGGAAGCAGCACCCTGGCCTCAATCCAGGGGTGTTTAGTAGCAACCTCCCACCCATTTGTGACAACCAACTACATCTCTAGAGACTACAAAATGTCCCTGGATATGAGGGAAAGGGAGGAAGAATGCTCTGGGTTGAGAACCACTAGTTTAAGGGAACAACTAGAAGACGTTACTTGCCTGTGGATTTCCATGATTTCCTCAGCAATCATTCGACCTATTTTTCCTGCCCCGGCCCTGGTTCCCCCTGGAATCCCTGGGACAGTGGGGTGGGTCCTCTTCAGGCCACCTACAACAAAGGAATCTGAGCGTGAGAAAGGGGCAACCGAAGAACACACACTCCTGTACATTCAATTACTATCAGTTCATCCCAAGATGTGCTTGAAGTTCAACCTGAGGGCTGTGCCTAGGGCTGTTAGAACCATAGCTTGGCAGGAAAAGGCTCAGAGGCCACGTGCTGAAGAACCCAACTCCCCTTCTGGCTCCGCATGCCTCACTGAACGCACCGCTGCACAGATAAGGCAGCTCCCTGCCCGTGGCAAAGTGGGAAGAATTTGATGGGTAAGCATGAGCCACCCAACTCATCCTGGCCAGGGGAAGCTTCCTGAGAGACTTCAACCCTGAGCCAAGTCTTGAGAGAGGGAGCATACAGTAGCTTGGCAGAGAGGCAGGGAGGGAGAAGCATTCCGGGCACAACAACCAGTAGATGCAGGAGGACAACACCTGGGAGACCACTCCAAGAAACTCATCGTGAATGAGGATGAAGCAGTGATGAGGAAACGGGAGAGGCGGGTTACCAATCAGGTCATGAAAGGCCTTGGATGCCACACTAACAGATTTGGATGGATGCACAGAAGGATCAGGAGCCCCAAAGGGCCCTACACAGAAAGGCAATGACTTAGATTTGGTGATAAGTCAGCTGCACGGAGCATGAACTGCAGTGGAGGATGGGTGCAGGGAGAGAGAGACGGGTTAGGTGAGAGGGTGAAGGAGGGACAGCGGTGATGAGAGGTTTGAGTTCCATGTTCAGATAGAAGGGGAGAGCTAGGAGACAGGTTTCTGACTTAAGCAACTAGAGGGGCTATGCGGAGAATTGGTTGGGATGTGCCAACTTTCTGGTGCCTTTGGACTCGGGGGTCCTTCCCAGGAGGCAATGGAGAGACAGACCTGGAGCTCAGCAGGGCCTGGATCAGATCACCCATGGAGGGAGGGCTGGAAGATGTGCAAGCAGAGGGAATCCTGCAGAGCATGTGCAAGTGCCCACAAAGGATGTGGCAAGTGCAGAGAGCAGGGGGCAAGGCCAAGTCCTGGGAGGGAGCCCCGGGGCACATACCCCCCACCCCCCATCACCACCACAGGGGCCTGTGACAGTCATGATAGAGCACGCCAGTCACATCACAGCCAGCGGGCAGCACGAGGGAGGAAAAGCATGAAAGGAGCTGGACTCTGCTATTTAAGAGCTTCCCGGACCCAGCAGCTCCCGAAAAGACAAAATCAAGTTTTTGGTATTCCAGGCTCAAGAGAGCAAGTGAGAGGACGAGGCCTCCCTTGTCCCACAGAACAGGTGACTGGGGGCCCCAGATACCAAAGGCCTTTTGTTCATAAGCAGCTTCTCAGGGGCGAGCCCGATGCCCTGGCGATAGTTACCTTCTCCAGGGGGCAGCATGCCGTCCATGCTGTGGGGGGACACCGTGAGCTGCGGGAAGCCTGGATCCCTGCCTTCCAGGACGCTGGCCCTGTGAACATCCCAGCAAGAAGGAAACGTGAGTCAGGCCTGCTCAGACCGTGCACCTTTCACCTTGGCCAAGGTGCCCGGTGTCCACTCTGGAACCGGACAGGCCAGGAAATGAAGTGTCTGTCTGAGTGGCCCAGAGGTCTCCTTGCTGAGCGATAACCCGATGGACGGCATCCTGGCCTGTGGCCTCACTGCCTGGGGCCCTTCTGTTCAGAGGGAGCAGCTGTGGGCCTGCTCCCTGCGAGCCTGCACTGCGCCTGCCCTGGCCCCACGCTCTGCCCAAATCACAGGTGGGGGTTCGGACACCACAGGGAGGGAGATGTGGAGAGCAGTGCAGCCAGAGAGAAGGCCTTTTCTGTCCCTGCTTATCTAGCAGGTGGCATTCCAGCTGTAATGCTCAAGCCACCAGCCTGGTGGGCACAGGGAGCCGTCCTCTCAGCCAAGGCCAGTCTGAGCTGATGTTCACGGGAGCCTCCCATGGATTGCCAACCCTTCCCTCAGAGATCAGGGGAGCTCGGGGTGCAGGGCCTGCGGAATTCAGAGGCTGGCTGCTTTATCTGGAAGGAGGGGGTATGGGTTCCTGGAGCAGTGCCATGGGCCTGGGCCTTGCACAGTCTGAGCACTCAGTTTGTCCCTTGCTAACAACCCTCTTGGCTTCTGCAATCCTGAGGCTTTATGGGGTATGAGCAGCTGGCCCCAAAGGATGTGATACGGGCTGTGCCTGCACCCCTTTCTCTGGTAAGGAGCCCAGGGCATTTCCTTTTGAACGAAGAAACTCCTGATGTAGGAGAAACACTTACAAAACAACAGTGTTGGTTGAGACAATGTATTCTACTTCCTTGGTCCAAGGGTTCATGAAACTGAACCATCGACTCCGCAGTGTGATGAAAGAACCATCTTTGATTTTAAACTTATAGCAGTTGGTTGTGATCTTTTCTCTCGTCTGTAAAACTGCAAATGCAAAGAAACCGTGAACATTGTTGTTTCCCCAGGTCAGTGTATGAAACTAACCAAATCCTAACGCGATAAGCCGAGGTTATTTCTAAGGGGCCGACTCAGAGCCTTTCGATGCAGTTGTAAACCTGTCCCTGTTTCCAGTGTATGAGATGACGGCTCAGCAAACGCCTGGCTGCACTGCAGACCGGCCGCAATCAGCAGTGACGTGGACACCAGCTAATGAGAAGGCGTGGTGCAAAGGGACTGTGTTCTTCCCATCTCAAAGACCGAGGCAGGACAGCACTTTTAGGGCATCTTCATCCAGAGAAGTCACTCACCTTTTCAAACCTATTCTTTTATCTAACAAACATGTAACAAGCACCTTTCATGTGCCAGGCCTGGAGATAGGAGAGACTATGACACCTGCCTGAAGCAGAGCAATGAGGCAGCTATGCAGAGGAGGAGACTGGGGTCTTGAGGGGTGAACAGGAGTTTGACAAAGGGAAGAATGCAGCAGTTCCCAGTTGTGACAGGCCCAGGGAGCAGCAGGGGACAGTGAGATGGTTGGCATGGATGGGAGATGAAGCTAAGGAGGTAGGTTGGGGCCAGGAGGTAAAGGGCCTTGAATGCATTTGGCCTTGAGTGTAAAGGCGGGTTTTAAGCAGGAATGGGACATTATCAGGCTTGGTCTACCAAGCAGAAATGGGTTAATTATGGACGGAAGATGGACTGGGAGCAGAAGGGAGGCCTGTCAGCAGGCTTTCGCAAATAAAAGGTGGGCACAAGGACCCGAACCAGGACATGGAGGTGGCAAAAGGGTCCTCTGAGGACATGCATGTCTGAAGTGAATGAACCGATCTGGTGGACAATAAAGTAAAGGAAAGGTCAGTATGGGTTTCTTTCTGAGGAGACTGTGTATGTGGCCGTGCCATTAATGAAGAGGAAAAGACAGACAGCAGCGCAGGGTTTTTGAACGAGAGAATTAGAACTGCTGGGCCACACTAAATCTTTCCGGGTCTGGAGGGATCCTGTGAATGAGGGATGCCCTCTGGGAATCAGCCGGACCTCTGTCCAGAAACTGCTGGGCAGGCAGGGCTGGGTTCTGTAGGGGATGAACAGGGCTCCCACCAGCCCCGCTCCTCACAGACTATCGGCCTCGAGACTCCTGGGCTGGCTGACTCCGAGGCACTGCGGCAGATTTCCTAGAAGACCCTGTGGGCCAGTGCAGAAGCGGGGCGTGCAAACCTAATGTCCTCTGTGCAGCCAGCTTACCTTGCCTGTGACATTCTGCGAGATGGCCTATGTCATCTTGGTGAAAATATTCATAACATGATGTGCCTAGAAGTTCTTGTGGTAAATATGCCAAAATAGCTGTTGCCCTGGAAGGGAACGTTAAAAAAAAAAAATCCAGGAGATTACTTTGTGGAGATTTTATATGTACATATATGTGTGCATACATGACACATGTATGTAGACATGACAGAGTAAGCCCTCTGAAAATCTCCCAGCTTTGACCTTGTCCTCATCATATATATGTATATGTATTTCATGTAACTGAATTACACTAAAGTTATAAAAACAGAGAGAAAAAAGCCTTTCAAAGGGGTTGTTATAACAAGTAATCAAGCTTTAGGAGGTTTGAAAAATGGTAGCTATGTTAGATAAAAATGTAGTAGAAATCTACAGCCCTGTGCAAACCTTCTCCATTTCACTGCCTGCTTTTTATCAGGAAAACCAAACACCAGAAGGGCCAGCAGCAGGAGCTATCAGGACCTTGGAAAATGTCTTCTTTCCCCACACTGAGTGACTTGCAGGAGCCTGAATACGACTAGCTGTGAATATTCGTAACCGGCAGCAGAGGGCAGTGGGAAATCTGAGACTGCTGGGCCAGCAGCTCAGGTCTACCACCAACTAGTGCGAGTCCCGGAGGAAGCCAGGCTCCAGGCTGGGCCTCAGTGCTCCTCCAGAAACGACGAGATGGACAATCAGTGCCGTCCACTGGGACCTTCAGTGATGATGGGAACATTCCATATCTGAGCCACCAGCCTCACGTGGCTACTGAGTACTTGAAATGTGGCTAGTGAGCCTGAGGAGTTTAATTTGATTAAATTAAAACCTGAGTAGTCGCACGAGATTACCAGTAGCCTCAGGACTGGATACTATCTTCTAAGTCCTCGTTCCCGAATTCCCATCACAGAGCTGTCCAGGAACATCCCACGTGTGCTGTGCCTAGGGGTTCTCTGGCCACAGGCATCAAACCACCTACTTAACTGTCTCCACAGGCCAAGAATGAGAGGCAATCTCTGCGTTTATGATGACAATCTTATGGACCTCAGTTTTTAGCAGCGATCCCCATCATTTCCTCTCGCTTTATTCTTAGGAAAGCCAGCTCCTTGCCCAGTTGTCTCTGCTTTACTCGGGTTTGAACTCACCCATCCTCATTCCAGAGTAACATGCAGACGCTCACCTCTGGTCTACAAAAACAAACTTCCCGTCGATGGCATGCCGAGAGACATATTCCATAGACTTCACCCTGATTTCCCCGTTCACCGGCTGTGGAACCATGTGAGAATGCAACCGTCCTATCGCGACAAGGCAGCTGAGATTACACCCCTCGTTGTCTGGCTCGTTGTCTTCATCCAGCCCCATCTTTGTGGGCGGCCAGCTTTTCAAATAGCCGGTGCTGTGGATTGTGCAGAAGCTTTTTCGATCTGCTAGAAAGTAAAGTCCACGGTTAGTGGCAGTTGGCTTCGGGGGACGGAGGCATGGGCCGCCTGTGGTGGGCTGGGATGTCGGCAGGGAGTCAAAACATGGGAAGCAAGGCCTTCCTCTCAAAAGGTGAGCATCCAGTGAGAAAGGAAGGCCGAAGATGAACTATCACCCCGTGTCATGTGTGTTTAGTCGAGTGGTTAAACCAAAGGAGAGATATGTGTCTACCTGGGGAAAGAAACACAATGTGGATGCAGATAAAGAAGGATGGGCACTGGCTCAGGGTCGAGGATGTGCAAAGGCTGAGGACGGACAATGGCACAGAGGATATCCAGTACAAAAACATCACGGAGCTCTGCCTGGCTTAGTGAAAGAGAGGGGCTGGGGGTGCAGCTGGAAAGGCAGGTGGGGCCTTGGATTCTTTGCTAACAATCGTGCTGGTCTTTTCTGTTAGGAAATGAAGAGCTCCCAATGGGATTTAAGTGGAGAAACAGCAAAATCAAATCAGGGTTTGGAGGCTCTAGAAGCAGAGTGACTGCTGGAAGAGGAAACAAAAATAGGAGAATCATGGCGAGAGTTGAGGGCTGTGCTGGGCAGTGCCCTGAGGAGGTGGCCGGGAGGACGTGGGAGAAACTGCTGAGAATTCCTAGGATTTGGTATGATTATCCAAGTATTTGGCCTGAAAGAAAGCAAATGAAGATAACTCAGAGTTTTTTTAGGTTAAGTGGCTGCTGGAACAGCCCACTGACTCAGAGAAGAGAGTTACATGCTGGAGAGAGAAGAGATTTCACTTGGGGACATAAGAAGTGGAGCACTTTTATGGGTTTCAACCATAAAATCCTTGGATGTGTGTACCAAGCATCAGGTCTGTGCTAGTGACTGGGAACTGTAGAAACCAAATCCTGTTAAGGATTTAACGTTTCTTCAAGAGCAATGGGAACAGCCAAGAGTTTGAAGTAGGGAACTGATAAGACTTACATTTTAAAAAGGCCTTTCTGGAAGGTGTGTGGGCCTACTTTACAAAGACGGGGGAGAGCCGAACGCAGCCCGGACCTGGGAAAGCGGTGAACGTGGATAAACATTTCGGATACCTTCTGCAGAAGGAATTCACTGTGGCAGGGCTTTGTGACTGGGGTGGAGCTGAAATGGGGCTCGAGGGTACCTCTTGGGCTTCTAGTATGTGCAACTTTTTGCTTTATTATTACAATAGTTTTTTTGCTGCTATTAATATCAAGGAGAAGCTCAGGTGGTTACTTTCACATCTATCATATTAGAGGTGCCTTTGAGATATCTAAGCAGGTGGATTTAATAAGCAGTTAATTTATGGATCTGAGGTTCAAAAGAGAAGTCTGGGCTAGAATATAAACTTGGGAGGTTATTCACATATAAATGACATTGCAAGCTAAGGGTTCACTTGTGGACGGAGCAGATCCAGAAAAGAGAAGGTGGCCTCAGGGCCTCAGACAGACGAGGATTCCCGCAACAGGAACTAGGAGGAGAGGCTGGAGTGGCCGAGGGTGGGGAGATGAGAATGGGGTTTCATGGAATCTGAGGAAGAGAACGCTGTAAGATGGCAGAAAAATGAAAAATGACCTTTGCATTTAGCATGAAGGTCACTGATGAATTCAGCAAGAACAGTCAGTTCTGATGGATGGGCGGGTTCCTCAAGAGGCAGTTAGAAGCTGTGGGTGGGAGTATCTTTCCCATCCAGTGACAACAAGCAATGACAACAAGCAGAATGTAAGCTGAGGAAGCCTTCCCACGCTTTGTGGCCCTGACAGCCCATCAGAGCTTCCAGCTCTGTCACCCCATCCGTCTCCCACGTGGTAGACAGCGGGCAGTGGGGTCCTGGCTGCAGTCCCGGGACCTGCCGCTCTGGCCAGTGGGGAGACGCTGAGCCAACAACCTGCTGAGCACTCCCGTGTAGAAGCGAGCATCACCTGGGACAGGAGGCGACAGAACTGAGAAATGGTTACCTTTTTTCTTTGAGCAGGTGGAGGGGAACTCCTTGTCTTCAACCTTTACTGAAGGCCTGTTACACTTCATCCTACAGAAGAAAGAACGCCGTGCTCCAGAACATAACCGAGATGGCCCAGGGGTTATATCTGTTTTAACTGGGAGTCCAGCTGCAAATCAATACACAAAACGTGATAAACTGAGAGTAGTGTTGTCTGTCAGGAGGGGAATGTGACCTTGAAGAAAGCCTTTTCTTTCCTGCCTCCCTGCTTCTAGCGGTGCCATGAGAATAACATTTCTCCTCAGGTTAGGCCTTAGAAGATGCCATACGGGGAGGTGTGTGGTCTAGCAAGATTTCAAGGTCACGTGGAATGCAGCCCCTGGAGAAATGGACAGGGTGCTCTGAGGGCTATAAAGAAACAGCACGGGGTTCCTGTCTGCCAGGAGCTCATGGCTGAGAAGGGGAAATGAAAGTTCATCATGAAAACACAGGGTGAGGTATGATTAGTGCCAACCTGTGCTTTCCAGAGAGGAAGAACTTGAAGGATGGGGAAGACTTAGATGCTGAAGTGGATGAAGCAGAACACTCTTAACCTCTCAGTCCGGGTCCCTGGACCCCATTTAGGTCTGTGCTGTCCAGTTCTGCAGCCACCAGCTCCTGCAGCTGCTGCACACCTGAAGCGCAGCATGCTGGCGGGGTGTGCTGTGCGACTCCACACAGGATTTCAAAAACTTAGAACTAAAAAAGGTAAAAGATCTCATTTTGGATTTATTCGGTTAAATAAAATCTAGTATTACAACTAGTTTTACATTTATTTTTACTATTTTTGATCGCAAATGTGGCTCATATTTGTGGTCTGCATTTATGTTTCCATTGGACTGTGCTGTGTTAAACCAACTGAATTGGAGTTTTGGCGGTGGGGGGGGGGGGGGGGAATGTGACTATGACCTTGACAAAAACATTGGCTACTTGTCACTGCAGAAGCTGCTGCTGCAGATCCTGTTGGGGCAACTCGTGCCCACTGACCACCACGGGGTCAGGGCAAGTGCTGTTGCCCTGGGCTCTTCCTGGTCTCACCTTCTGCAACCTCCCTCCCACACTGAACTTCCCAGAATGCCAATCCAAGCCGGTCCCATCTGGTCAGAGCCCCTCCAGGTGTCCCCACATGGAGAGGTTTGTCCCACTGCCTCAGAGCCCCTCCCCGTGTCCTCACCATGGAGGGGCCTTTGTATACCAGCTCTCTCCCGCCCATGCGTGTTTTTTTCCAGCAGCCTCAAGCAGCCACATGGCGGGTGCCGCACCTCTGCACCCACCCACAAATCATTTCCTCGGCTCTCTTCCTCTCTTTGTCACCCGGCAAACATTAATTCATCTTTTTAAACCCACCGCAGTTGTCACCTACGCGGAGATGCCTGTCCCGGTGCCCACATGAGAATTAATCACCCGCGCTCTCTGCCTGGCACCACTTCTGAGGCTGCACCTATTATGCTGGGAGCTGGCTGACTCCTTGTCTCCAGGACTATCTGGTAAGACACTCAAAGGTAGGGGCCAAACACCATTCATCTCTTTCTCGTCAGGTCACTAAAACGTTGCAAGGGCCAGACTATAAAGGACAACAAGTTTCGGGAACTGCACTGCACTTTCAGGAAGAAGAGGAGTGCCTTAAGGAAAAGGATAGTTTAAGGGCGATTCCTCTGGTGGCATTTCCCTCCAGGAATTAAAATGAGGGGCTTGGAAGCCGGAAACTGGTTAGGCCATGACTGCACTGTGCCAAGACGGGCCGGGAACTGTCCCATACGCTTTTTGTACATTAACATGCTTAATCCTCACAGTAACTCAGACATAGGTACTGTTCTGCAGATAAGGAGGCTGAGGCACAGGGAGGTTAAGTAACTTGCTCAAGGCCACACAGCTGGTCAATGGTGGGACCAGGAGGTGAGCCTGACAATCTGACTCAAAGCCAGACTCCCCCGAGTCTAAGGAGAAGAGAACTACAGACCCTCACTCAGGAGGCCCAGGGAGGGCAGGAACAGGAGGGGAGTGTGCACAGTGGTTCCACTGCGGCAGGAAGGAAGCCAGGAAGGAAGCCAATCTAAGGAGGAACTCTTAGTAAAGAAACCTAGCTCTATTTCATTCCAAGTGGTCTTCCTTTTGTGAGGCTGCTCAGAAATGATTATTTGGGGGGAGAAACGAACCAACTTGATGTGAGACCTTTAAACTTAGGGGCATATAACTGATTCTGAATTCCTAGGGGGAATTTCTGGATTCTTAAAAAAAAAAAAAAAAAAAGACTGAAAATCAGTTTGGCCCGGTGTGCTCAGTGGTTGAAACAGGAGGTCACAGTTCAATTCCCAGTCAGGGCACATGCCCGGGTTGCAGGCTCAACCCCAGTGCGGGGGATACAGGAGGCAGCTGTCCAATGATTCTCTCTCATCATTGATGTTTCTCTCTCTCTCCTCCTTCCTCTCTGAAATAAATAAAAATATATTTAAAAAAAAGACTAAAAATCAGAAAGAATAAAATCAAAGTAGTTGTTTTTCCTCTTAATGAATTTGGACATTCAGGTTTTCTTCTTTATGTAAAAACAAAAACAAAAACAAAAAACAAATACAAAAGAATGTACATAATTCCCTTTGCCAAAGATAGGAGGGAAGAGAAGGGACCCATACTCTGAACTGAGTGCGTTCTGCGGGCGCTGAGGAAGCAGCAGCCTTCTCTACTCACTTTTCGCATCGATGAGGCGCTCCCGGGGGGCGGTGTCAGAGGAGGAGAGCTGCTCCTTCACTTTGGCAATGTCTTTAGGATGCAGGTAGTCAAACAAACTCTGGCCAATCAGATCATTCTGTGCAGATGAAATATCAAAAATGACAAGTAGAAATTACCTAAGTGCTTTCCCTTTCTTTATTTTGTATTTTAAGCATGACAATTTCAACCATTTCATATGAGAACTTGCACACAAGTGCACTTTGTCTAGATATGGGCATTGGGAGACTGGTGCCAATAACACAGGGAAAAAGGGCCCAATTCCATAAACAGTTCACGCTCCTTGAAGGCAAGAATCTGTGCATTATTTTTTATTTCTGAGGACTGTAGCCTCTTGCTTTTTTAAGCCTCTCTGTTCCTAAGCAAGCTGGGTCACACCAAATGCTTCCATAGCCTCTTCTGCTAGCAGAGATAACTTTCATGTAAGACTGAAATGAGTAAAATATTTGCAAAGCATGAAATTTACTTTAATTCTAATTCATACAAGTGTTATTTTGACTCTGATTCTGCCTAATCCAGTGTTCATTCAAACACCAGCATTCCACAAGTGACAGAACGAATGAATGAGTGAATAAAACCTCTATGGACACAATAGGTAAATAGCTGAGCTCTAGAAGCTTCCAAAAATGTTATTACTCGATCCTACAAACATTCACAAAGGGTCTGGATCGTTACAACCAGGTTTTAGAGGAAACTGAGGTTCAGCAGAGCTATTAAGTGGTACGCCACTGAAAGCGCAGAGTGGGTGGGTTCCGTTTTCCTGTTCTCTGGTATTGTATGATCTGTCCAACCCTCTCCTCTCCCTGGGCCCTCATCCTCCACCTCTGCCCCGCAGCTGTGGGCTATTTCTTTTGCAGCAATAAGAAAGTTAGAAAGCTGCTGCTGAGATCAGAGTCAAACCTTTCAAATGGTGAAACATGGATCATACATATGTTAAAAGATTTTTCTAAGTTTAATTTCTCTGGTAACAAGTAAAGAATTTTCTGGAAGGATTGGTGGGAGGACAATTATAAGCATTTCACATGTAACTTGTGTGCTATAATTACTCTGCAAGTGGGGAGACCTTTCTGGCTGCTGGGCGGCTGCCCACCGCCAACAGGGGCATGAGCAATACCTGGCTGTAGTTGAGGATCTTGAAGACAGACTCTGAGACAAAGAGAATCTTCCCTCGGTCACATCCTACGACAAACAAAAATCCATCTGCTGCCTAATCAGGAGAAATGGATAATCAATTTATCACACTTCAAGAAACATGACTGTAATCACTCTGACAGCATATAAAGATATGTGTTCTAAGTAACCAAAGCACAGGACTGCTCTCATGGACAATGTCACAGGTTTGCTGAGAACAGGATGCTTAAAGCAACAGTCCTATAAAAAGCAAGATTCTCTCCAAGGCAGATCTGTATCATCTAAGTCATCTAATGATTACAGGGAAAAGTCCAATTATTAAATTGTTTCAAAGCTGAATTCAGCATAACAATGTTCCTTTGATTGCATTATGGTCCAGAGGAGTCATATGTTATGGCTCTAATTAAAACAACTCTATGCAGAATCACAGTCTGAGACTGGAAGGATTTCTAAGTTTGGAATCCCTTCTCCGATCTTGGCTACATCTGTTCGCGACTTGAACGGCTCCGTTTTTGGAGGGCACTGGGACAGTGGTTTTTGTTTTGTTTTATGCTGACATTTGGAGTAGGGCTGCATCATTGGTACTGTTTTAATCCCCACTTCTGCCCCCAATGACTATAATGTACACAGGATTGAAAGCTACTGCTCTCCTTTGACCCAGGGCTAGGCTGTTTGTTCCTAAGTAAGATAAGAAAAGCAGAGCAAAAATTTCCCCTTAGATGCTTCTAACTTCTTTGCTTTACATACAAGTAAAAATCTAAAGTGCCAATAAGGACAGGTATAAGACAGGACAGTATTTGTTAGAGAGACTGAAGTGGGTAACTACCAAAGTTGCAGCATCCGAGAGTTTAGACCGTTTCATATGTGAGCACGATTCCTAGACCCTCTTTTCAGATGGACAGACTGCTCAGCTTCTGCTGGGGTATCTCTACTGCCCGGAATCTAACCCAATCTCTCGGGAACTTGCTCTTTCCACCCCCTCTCCCCCTGCAGATCAAATACACAGGGGGTCAATCTTGCTTTGTTCACTAGCTCTCAGCCTGTTCTTGGAAAAAATAAAGGACCTTTGAGATACAGCTTAATTCAAGGAACGAGGAAATGAATTCATGCATAGGAGGTATGCATGGTGCGCGTACTAGTGCTGGGGTGAAAGGAGTGAATGAGAAGGGGAACAATCGCAATGGCTGTGAGAGAAGCCAGGGGGCCATCCAGCTGGGAGGAAGCCAGAATGAATCTTTCCTAAGTTAGGTTTCTGAGTAAGTCTGGGGCAAGGAATGACGGTGAAGGAGAAGAGACTTTGCAAGCACCATCTGCTGGAAGCCCCATTCAGTAAAAAAAATAAAATAAAATAAGGTATTAATAACTTCCTCATTTGCCTTGCACACAATCATTTCCAACCGGGTAAGTACTTTGAGGCTTTGCATTGATGAAGCGATGAGGCACCCAAGGTGCCTATGAAGAAGGTGACTGTGGCATCCTGACACCTGGATCTCCAAAGGCCAGTGACCACAGTCAGTGTGAGGGAGGCTCAGTGCATCCGACCCTGCTTCACTGGGCAGATGGCACCATCAGCGGAAGGCGTTGGGTGAGGACACCTGAGTGCTCTGGGGACTCAGGAAAAAGGCTGGCTCGCTCCTGGAGGAGGATGTTAACAGGTAATCCAGAGCCCTGGGAGGGTCTGCCTACTTTTCAAATCATGGGGAAGCAGGGTTTCTATGTATTATAAACAGCCCAGGCCGATTGCTGCCTGGCACACCATTCCTTAGATACTGGGAAAGCACTTGGTGAGGCCGGCATTAGTCAGCTTTGTAAGATGACAGAAGTCCAGTTCCTGCTGCCAACTGTTTGAAACAGTCTGAATGGTCCTTGCTTCTGTTGAAGCAAGTTCCTGGGGACGGGGTACCTGGAATGGGCAAGGGATTAGACAGGACTTCACAGCCACTGACATGCACCAGCGGAGAAAGGAACATTTCACTGGAGAAGACAGAACATCACTGATGTTGCATGAAACAGAAGAGCAGAAAGGCAAGACCAAGATGAAGTATTTAGCTTGAATAGCATTAAAATTCTTGTTTCATACTCTGGTAAGTTTGGACATCTGAAGTTATTTAGAAAAGCAGCAGCAAGAAAATTACTAAGCATTTGTCACTATAAAAGGAGCTTATTTTACATATAACATATTATATATACAATTATTTTTTTCCCTTAAAAATGTCATATTACCAATATGGCAATGAAGACCAGCCACATAATTTGTAAGGCTCTGTACAAAATGAAAACACCAGGACTCTTGTACAAAAATATGATGTTCGCCGAAACCGGTTTGGCTCAACGGATAGAGCGTCGGCTTGTGGACTGAAGGGACCCAGGTTCGATTCCGGTCAAGGGCATGTACCTTGGTTACGGGCATATCCCCAGTGCGGGGTGTGCAAGAGGCAGCTGATTGATGACTCTCTCTCATCGATATTTCTAGCTCTCTATCTCTCTCCCTTCCTCTCTGTACAAAAACAATAAAATATATTTTAAAAAAAAGAATTAATCAAAAATATGATGTTCATGCTGATTCTCAGAGGGAAGGTGGGGGTGGGTGAATGGGTGGGACGAGATCAACCAAAGAAATTCTGTGTATAACCCATGGACACAGACAATAGTATGGTGAGGGGCATACGTGATAATTTCAACAATAAAGATTTTTAAAAAATTATAATGTTCAAAACGGCAATAGCAGAGCACGAAAGCCAAGCCTGGGCCTGGGTGACTCCTGAGGTCACATCCCAGGAAGCCTGGTGGTTTCTCTGGATGTGCGGCTTCAGCGAGCATCCTCTGAGAACAAGGACATCTGTTGGACAGGGATGCAAAAGAGGGCAGAGTTGGGTCTGAGTAACTGTGCCCTGAGAGGGGTGGTCCACAGGGGTATTTCTGAATTCCATTTCTTTCCCTTCCATTGACTCTGGCTCTGCCGGGAACACCTCTTGGAGCCCCGGGCAGACCCAATTCTGCGGAAGGCTGTGTTCCCATGGCGCGCCCTCAACTGCCTCTGGCAGAGACCCAGGAGCTCCAGTCCAGCATGCGCAGCAACACCTCCTCCGTTTACTTTCCTCCCTGGATCATGGCGTCTTGGAAAGTTTTGCTATTTGGAAGGGATTCTGGTGAAAAGATTTCGGTGGATGCTTTTGTGCTACTGGTTAAATGAGAATCAGAGAAATTCTTAATTGTTCAGTGTCAGTCCCGTTCTAAAATCTTCATGCAGGAATGTGGTTCTTAGCTACCGCCTATTTTTTTTTTTTTTTTTTAATGAAGTCCTGCCTCTTCTGATTTAAAACCACAGTAGCACAGACCTTCCATCTTTGCTGAGCAAGGGCAGAAGGGGAGGAGGGAGGTTTCAGAAGGAATGCGAGGCCTGTCCAAGCAAGAAGATAAAGAGGAAGTAGCTAGAACACTTCAGGGTTCAGACATCAAATTCCCATATCCTGGGACTTAACCCTGAAATCAGTAAAAATAAGCATGTGTAAAACAGCTCGTAATTGCAACATACCCTGAGGATGAGGTGCTTCAATTCATCATCTGACAAAAAAGTTGGTTTGTAGTTTGCTTCCGTGTATGGATTGGTGGCACCTTAGGGGGGAAGGAGAAAGAGTTGGCTCACTTTGTATTCAGATTATGTCTCATTTTCCTTCATTGCCTCGAACCTACCACCAGAAATTTAAATTTGACCATCTTTTTTCTTCACCGAGATAAGGCGAGACCTGGTTTTGAAGAGAACCTTGTAATACTGAAGAGAATTCCACTGAAAAGAGAACACTGTTGCTCACAGGAGACTGAACGAGCATGCTTTTGTCACCACGGGGAAAACCAAGGCTAATAGAAGGAAGTTACAAATCTGCTTCTGAGAGAAGGCAGCTCTAGAAGCGAACTGACTGAGGCACCTGGGGTTGCTCCCTCCTCCCAAGACGTGTATTAAATGGGCTGTCTAGCAGCCCCTCAAATCACTACTTCACGTGCATGGGAAGTCATTCAGCCTGGCAGGCCGAGTAAATATATCATAGAGGGCATTTAGTGTGAGCTCCCCTTCACTGCTGAGGAGCTAAATGAGCCTGGCAACCCAGAGAAATGCATCACTTCGGTAAACGCAATTCTAGCTCCTGGAATGGAACAAGACTTGTGTTTAAAAGGCTGTCAGTCTGGCGTCTTTCATAAGAACAATAACTTCACAGAAAAATGCCAGCAGTAAGTGACTTGGGATCTGCAGAATGGTGAAGGGAAAAGTGAAGAAATACAATGAAGCAGGTCCATAACAATTCAAAGCACCAAGGGGAAGGAGGTAAACAGGACGTGTCTGTGACCTCCATGTCAACCAACAAGCACGGATTGTTGATCCACACCGCTTCTGTGATAACTGGAGTTTGCACTCTTCTAATTTAATAGAAACTGGCTGATAGTTTAGTTTCTACCAATCAGCTAGTATGAATTTTTAAAATGCCATTCTCCAAGCACAGGATACAATAATTATATTTTTGAATAACGATCAGAAGTCAGACAATATCTGCTACGTCTTCTTTTTGGTGGCCTTGTAGAACTAAAAAGATGCAGTTCTTTTGCCACACGGCTTAGAGATCTGACTGAGCGCCCACTTTCCAATTTCCTCAAATAGCCCAAGACTAGCTGTGGAAAATTCCAGGAACAGCATTCACTAAAAGGCTGATAATGTTTCAGATTTCTCCTGTGGTTTGGATAAGTCACTTCCACAGTTCTGCCTCGTTTTCTCAACCTCACCACACTCAGGGAAGAAGGAAAATACTGTCTCTCCCATAAAGGGTCTGGCCAGTTTGGGAAAATCCCAGGAAGATGACTATGTCAGTGTTCATTCCTGACGATTATAACATAGCAAGAATCATGAACCAGTAACTCTTCAGAGGAACCATGATGGATTTTCCTCTGAAACGTGAGACTGACTTTTCTGGGTCATTCAGTGCACTCAGTTTCTGAAGTTTGTCATGTATGCATGGGGTCTGACTACATGCACACAGATGGGGCATCAGCGGTGCCCTCTCTGATATGTGCATAGTCTACCACACACAGAGACATGCTTACAGCCTCTACACTCTGGGATAAAAGACTGTGTAACTGTATCTTGATACTCACTTCATTGGGTATCATATCTACTGCTGAAAATTACAGGCATATTACTGAAGGCGACACATTTGCAAATCAAACATTTGCCGTAGGAACATTCTAGGCAAGAGAGCTACATTTGTGGACAAAGGTGTAAAGGACAATAAAACTTGGGTCTCACCTCGTAATGTTTTCATGTGCTGAACAGCCATCCTTAGCACAGTAAGTTTATCTAATTTCCTGGACATGGCATTGCACGTTGGTACCAAGGAAGCCAATTCATCAATAAAGCTGTTCATTTTATCCCGACGCCTCTTTTCAATTTGACTGTGAGCTTCCCTGAACAACAATATGAATAATGAATTCTATAAAATGTAACCCAGCATTAAGGAAACAACGACAAAAATAAGATATAATTGTTTTCAATGATCATCTGACAAGGCAAATTCAGAATTTGCAGACTGCTTCAAACTGGACTTTTTTATTGAAGTCACTAAAGACGTGGCCTCTCTGCCAGGTCAGGATTAGTTTTTTAAAATGCTTATCTCGTCCTTCCTTAGAATTAAGAAATGGTTTTAAAAACTGTCTTTTCAGAGTAAACTGTATGGTTAATTTCTCATTTCTTTTCCTCTCAGCCTCTATAAATTTGGATTTGAAGATGGAGGCAGATGAAAAAAGGGGGATGGTAGAGTTTTTAAAAGAGCAAAACATCCAGAACCGCCATCATATCAGCAAGGGTCCCGTGGTTCCAATCTCCGAGGACTGGAAGGAGCCTGCTGTGTGGCCTGCCAGAGACTCGCTGGTGGAGCTGCCAGATAATTAACGCTGCCATCCTTAGGTCACATATGACCCCACATAGATATAGCAGATGCTACATATGTCCCAGAACTTCCTCCAAAGAGCATCACACTCCTCCCTCCCCGGAGCTGCTGCCCCTGCACACACTCCCTGGCTGGTTTGCACCTGCCATTTGTGACAGCCCCCTAAAGAGGGGCATCCATGGTGGAAATGTAGTTCCCTGCTGCCCTGGCCAGGTAGCTCAGGTGGTTAGAGCCTTGTCCTGATACACCAAAGTTGCAGGTTTGATCGCTGATCAGGGCACATTCAAGAATAAATGAATGAATACATAAATAAGTGGAGCAACAAAGTAATGTTTCTCTCTCTCCCTTCCTCCCTCTAAAACCAATGAAAATTAAAAATAAAATTTTTTTTTAAAGAAAAAAAATGTCATTCCCTCTGCTGCCATAGCAACAGAACCAAGAGAGCTCCTGCCAAGGCGGGTCTGCCAGAGAAAAGCGAGAAGTCTCGGGTTAGCCAAATTCTGCATCCCTCAGTTCTGTGTCATGACGGCCGCAGAGCAGGAGGGTTGAGGACCACATGGACAGGGATAAGCAAGTGTGGTTGGAGGCAGGAAGCAGGAGGCACCATGTTAGAGCACCTATTCCTGGGAGCAGGGCATCCCCCGTCCCACCTTCAGGAGCAGTTTTCAGGGCAACAAGGATGAGGGGCAGCCCAGGAGCTGCATCACCGTGCCTCCTCCAGGGCCCTACAGGCAGAAGGATAACCTGCCAAACACTAGGGTGAAACCTTAGCCTTGATTTATTTTCTGCTCCCTCCAAAGTCCTTCGGGTGATCCATGCTTAGACGGGAAAGAGTGAAGGCCAGCACAGCCTGCAGGGAGGGACGGGCAGGAGGCACAGACATGACAGTGTCGAAGGAACTGCTAGACGGGGACCAGATGGGCAGAGCCTCCTCGGCGGCCCCCAGGAAACCAGGACAGTGAGAGACAGAATGAGGCCCCTTCCTACCTGGCATTTTTTATCCTTCCTTGGTGCTCTGTGTATTCTAACCTGGAAAAAAGAAAAAAAGCAAAAGATAAAAACAGAAAGTAATGTCTTCTTCCCTTTTTAATTAATTTCTCTGTTTAATCCCTGTTATCCCTCTCCACAACACACAACGTTGATTGTTAGCCAGACTGGAAGGTGTGTGTGTGTGTGTGTGTGACAATCTTGAGCCCACAGGCTCATAGCCTCCTTGTTTATCCCTCACTCAGGACAGGGTGGAACCTGCACCAACTAATAGAATTTGCAATTATTCAAGGAAATGACTATAAGGACCCTGACGTTAAATGACTAGGTTCACGGTACCTTCCGTGGGGGTCATCTTTGTCTGTGTCCATGCTTTCCCTGAAAAACAAGCAACACAAAAAACACAAAAAAGAACGTAACTATTAAATACATACACAATGCCTTCTAATCATAATGCCAAGGGCTCTCATTTGTCCAGAAATCAAACAATTAGAAAGGTCAAATTCCATAGTACTGATTATGAAAACATAATAAACATATATAAATAAAGAAAAACAACTTGAAACTGCTAAAAAAAAATTCAGACTGGTTTTCCAGATCATCAGATGAAATTTATATATAATATCAATTATATATAAATTGAGTTTTCATGTTAACATATTTTACCACATTTTGATTATCAATAGAGTTTTCATGTTAACATATTTTACCACATTTTGATTGTGTGAAAATTGGGAATAAGTTGCACTAATGGAAACTGTTAGTTCACCAGCGTATCCAAGTAACTATAATATTATACCTACAATAACTGGTTCTGGATAAATGGAGCTTATTCATTTGCAAAACCTATTAAGCATTGGATATCTGTGCATACATATAGTAGACTGGATTGTGTGGGGGACTGAAGTGAGGAGGGGAATCAGAGCACCAACAAAAAAGTGCTGAGCAGAGCCCCGAGGAAGCCTTTCAGAGGCACTGCTAACCCCCGTGTTCTGGTTCTCAGCATGTGGGGAACACCACGGAATGGAACAGAGGAGGGACTGGGGCAGAGGCTGTGGGACCCTTTTTGGCTGCAGAGGGGGCTGGGGTCCCAGCATGAACCTGCCTCCCTTCAACACACTCCAGAAATCCAAGTTTCATGGCATCTTATGTTTCAGTAGAAAATCGACTGGAATTCTCAGAGAAAGGAGTTCAAGGTCCCCAGGATCAGCTCACAGTCTTATTCAGCTCCTAAATTTATTGGCAGGCACTGACTCCCACCTGGGCGTCTCCCCTGTCTCCTTATCCCACAGAAAGGAGGAAGTACACCCTGCACACAAGGTATTTCATGGGCAAAAATGACTTTTTCAGGAGCACCAAGTCAGGGCATTCTAGAGCAGTGGTTCCCAGCAGCACTCCAGCATCTTCGCAGACAGTGTCTCAGGCTGGCCCCAAGTCTGGAGGAAATCACACAGACACACGGGCAAATGGAAACTTCCCTCCCCTTTGTCTGGGTTTGTGTCTGTTTACTGAGGCCAGAGTGACCATCTCAGGGGAAGAGGAGCTCTGCCTGGCAGGTGTGACATTAGTTCAGCAAAATTATAGGGGAAGGGATCATGGCTGCTCCATTAACAGGGTCTCCCCGAATTCAAAAGACTTGCAAACTAGGGTCCCTGGGGGAAACCTGGTGACGAGGTTGGAAACCATAGATAGCAGAGGTCTTAGAACATGTCAACAGTCCACGGAAAACATCTCCTGGTCTCTCTTTTGGGGAATGACTGCCACAAAAGAACATCCGCCTGGTCTTCACTCCCATCCCTGGGCATTTGCTCTGAGTCATCTAGGATAATTTACATATTAATCATAGCATCTCCTAGTGGGCATCTGACCTCTGGCCACTGAGCTCCCCAAGTCTGACCTGTGAACTTCAGCAGAAAGGAATCTGCTGTAGCAGGGACTCCTCCTTGGAGATTTTCCCTCATTAAACAAAAGCAAACCTTTTAAATGGCCATTTGGGTAAGAATCCACACAGAGGCCTCAACAAAACAAACGTGCCTTTGACTGTTCTCTATACACTGCCTTTTGCCCTAGTGTTTGTGCGGAGATAGAAGAGTTGATTGTAAGTGTGAAAGTTTACTTACTCAAAAGAAAAGTCATCAAGTCTAAAAAAAAAAAACACACACAAAAATACTATTTAATATAACAGGTACATACTCGTTTCAATGATGTTTAAGGGCAATAACAATGTTCCTATGCTTTTGGAGATGACCATTACTTAATTATTCTGCAAATACAGGGTGTCCCCAAAAATGTATACACACACTTTGAATAATTATAAAGGCAGTCTTTGTTAAAATAATACATTTTATTTTCAAAATCGATCTATTGAAGTGTATATATCAATACATTTTCAGGGGACACCCTGCATTAATCAACTGATGTCTTCCTCAGGGAAGGGCCCTCAGTCAAAGCTCTCTCTGAAACCGCTCAGGTTACACCCACTGAGTCAGTCACTTACTCAGAGGAGCAAAGGAAGGTAAAGGAACATGGCTCTAAGGCTCTTCTTTCCCCCTGAAATGGACAGTCTGGGAGGGGGCAGATGTCTCAGCAGTGCTGGTGCTAGAGGTCCTCCCTCCCCCAGCTTGCTTCCGGGGCAAGGCAAAGGAAAACCACTGTGTGGCCTCCTGAATCGCATCTTTCACCCCATTCCTTTCCCCAAAGGGGGTCCCCCTTCCAGGAGGAGCAGCCCCCGGACACTCCTCGCCTATGAACTGTCGGGGCGTTCAGCCGGAAGAGGACTGGTCTGAGGGCCTTACTGGTAGTCGGTGGAGCTGCCTTTCCGCTTGCGCGTGCAATCCACGCCACTGGTGCCCAGGGAGCTGGAGAGGAGGTCTGTGGCGCCCGGGGACATGAAATCACTGATTGTTGAAGAAATGTCCATCCTCTGGTCCGCCATTGGGAGTCTGGAATTGGGACAAGGAAGCACAGAGGCGAGTTTATTTCCAAGGGCTCTTCTAAGTGCTGGGGGGCCAGGGTGGTGCTGGGCAGCGACAGGTGCCCGTTTGCAGCACCCACACCTCTCACCCAGCCCCCGGAACAGGCGCTTGGCAGGTAGGAAAGAGCAGCGTGCCCACTTTAGCGCTAATACAGGTGATTTAGGCTCACTGTGCGTTTTCCTGAAAAAACCCAGAGGACCCAGGTGAGGGCGTGGAAAAACTAAACCAGAGCCCAGGGCTCTGGGAGCTATAGCCCATGCTTCCCCTCTCTCCCGCCCTGCCCCCCCACCTCGCCCCCGTGCCAGGACCAAGTGTCCCAGATGTTCTGTGAGAGTCTTAATTTCATTTTCTTCCAACCAATAAATCAAATAAATGAAACAGATGATTTACTTGTTATCTTTGTATTTTTGTTACAACTTTTGTAAATGTCATAAGAAAGCAGACAATATACTTCCCCAGACTATATGGGGGGGGGGGGAGAGAAGAATGGGTCAAAAGTAAGTTTACAGTTGTTAGTAGGAAAAATGATATAGTAATTAATAAATAACAATACAAGAAATACAGTAATAAACTCTTTTTTTGTGTACTCACAACTATAAACCTACTTTTGACCAGTATGGTCCCTCTCTCTCAGCACCCCAGGCAAAGTCAGTCCTATCTTCCCTGACTGTCCTTTCATACCCAGCATCCCCTGCAACCTTGCATAATGAGATGAAGACATTATAAAAATTTGCAAAACATTTTAAGAATTTATATTTTAAAAGCACAAAGTGAGCTGGCCCAAAAAAGAGGCTGACAGGTACCTTACAAGGAACTCCAGCTCCAAACCGGGTTGAAGAGGGCTGTGCTGCCCGCAGTCAGGGCCGGGCTGCCCAGGATGTGGCTGGGGCTCACTCCTCCTCTCTGGGCCTGAGCTTCCTCATCTGCAAAGCAATGGCTAAGTGTGAGCGCTTGTTTTCATTGTTACTATTAGGCTCACAGATTCCGGAACCAGGCCCACCTGGTCAGGTACAGTGCCCCAACTTTTCACTTTCACAAGCACTGGAGTGAGCATCTTGGTGCGTATATCTCTATGCCAGTGTTTCCCAACCTTCTCTCATGATGAGAATCACCTGGTGGAGTTGTTAAAACACAGATTCCTGAATCCCAACTAAGAAGTGCTAAACTAGAATTTTTGGGAACATATAGGTAAAATTGTGTACTTAACTAGTGCTCTAAGACAGATTTTATATACAGAGCACTAAGTTAGGTATGCAATTTTACCTATATGTTCTCAAAAATTCTAGTTCAGCACTTCTTAGTTGGGATTCAGGAATCTGTGTTTTAACAACTCCACCAGGTGATTCTCATCATGAGAGAAGGTTGGGAAACACTGCTCTATGCATTTGAGCTATCATATTTTAGGATAAATTTCTAAAAGTAGGAGCAAAAGGGGACACACCTTGTACGTTTGGTGCACACTGAAACACTGTGCTCCGGAGAACTCCAGTAATTCATATCCTCAACAAGAGCTCTTGTCGATCTGAAGGTAAGTACAGACCTCATTGTTTTTTTACTTGTATTTTTAAATGACTACAGATGGTGCTCCTGTGTTAGAGGCATCTCTTGGTTTTCCTTTGTGTCTATTCATGGCCCATTTTGCACTAAGTTGTTTTCAATAGCTACAGGCCTCAGACCATGTCCACCTGGGCATGATGGGAGAAAAGCTTATAGTCCCCCTCCTCTCGCCCAGAGGCCCAGGGCTGCCACAATCTTGGCTCCCCACTCTATTTGTTCACCTGCTCTGCTAACGAGGACGCCATACTTTCTCTTTGCTCCTCAAACCCCCAACATCTCTCAGATCCTCATTCCCAGGTGCTAACTGCTTTCTACTTTGCTGAGAAAATAGCCCACCCAGGTGCTGCCGGTTAGGACCCCACACTTAGCGAGTGCCGAGTTCATCCTCTCTGATGACTTAGGACACACACCAGGAGTCTCTCCCTGCCCACAGTCCCGTATCACCCACTTTCCTGTCCCCTGGGTCATTTTCATGAGGATAAAGGCGCATTGCAAACAACTCTCGTACTAGAGGAAAGAAACCTTTGAACTCCATTCCCTCCAGTTACTGCCACATTTCTGTTTCCAATTCTTTCCCTCCTATTCTCTATAAACCAACTTTAATCAGGCTTTTGTCCCCATCGTTCCAATAAGACGGCCTCCACTGTCACCAGTGACCTCCTCACTGCTAAGTCCAAGGGCGCGTGTTCCATTCGCTCCCTGTTTGACACAACAGTGACATCTGATAGCTCTGATTTCTCCTCCTCATTGTCTCCTGGTTTCAGAGATGCCATCTTCTCACAATTTTCCTTCTTTGTCAGAGGCCACTCTTTTTTGGTCTCTTTAGCTGGTTCTTCCCTCATCTCCCCCACCTCTAAATGAGGGTCCGATGGTGTCCTTGCACCTTCCTTTCTGTCTATACTCCTTCCCTAGGAGATCTGTCCAGTTTCACTGCTTCAAATACTAGCTATGCTAGGACAACTCCCAAATTAACATATCCAGCCCAGACCCCTCTCTCTGAATTCCAAGCTTGTATAACCATCTCCCTTTGAATGTACAACAGAGACCTCGAACTAAAACATCCATAACCAAACCCCTGGCTCTCCCCCAGCCAAGCCTCTCAGTCCTGCTGATGCCAGGAAGCAGTATTTCAATCCTTCTGGTTCCTCAGCCCTAAACTTGGAAGTCGCTCTCAATACTCTCTTTCTTTCACAACTTGCATCCAATCCATCACAGATCCTAATAGCTCAACATTAAAAAAAGAGAAAGAAAAAAAAAATCCAAAATCCAGCCACTTCTCCATTTTCCCCCCTTTATATTTCTGCTCAAATATCATTTTATCAATGATGCTTCTTTGAATATCCATGTAATACAACTCCCTGCCAATCCTCCCTTAACCACCCCTACCCTGCTTTATTTTCTTCCATAGCCCTTGTAAAAATGTGGCCTACAGTAACCAACTTCTTTACTTCTTCTCCATTAGACTATAAGCATGAGAAAAGCAGGAGTTTTGTGTGGTTTACTGCTTGCATCCTTAGCACCTGGACCATTTTCTAGCACACACAGGAAGCACTCAATAAATGGATGCTGAATGAATTTATTTGTATATTAGAAATATATCCTTTGTTCATCATAGATGTTATAAATACCCCAATTTTTGCCTTTCAAATTTGTTTATGGTATTTATATGTGATAATAAAAATGACATTAAAATAAAAGCCTTTTATTACTCCCCAAATCATAATGATATTCTCTTTACTAATATTTTTATAATTTTACTTTATTAGTTCTTCAACCTATTTGGAAATGATTTTTGGTACACTAAAAAATTCCCAACCTTTTTTCCCTTCAATGGATAACCATCCCAACACTATTTACTAATCTACACATCCTGTTGTCCATCATTTGAAATGCCATCTTTATTGGTTCATTGACTATCTCTGGACTTTTTAATCTGTTCCTCTGATTTAGTTATTTCCATTCTAGTACTACACTATTTATTATTATGGCTTGATAATATATTTTACTACCTGGTAGAATAAATCCTTTTCCTCATTCTTCTTTATTTCCTGGCTATTCTCATTTATTCTTTGAGAAACGTTTTATAATCATTTAGTCATTCTTATATTATTACTGACATTAAGAGAAGTGGGTGGGGATTGAGAATAGAGCCTGCCGTCAGGGTCCTGGTGGCCCTTCGGGCTGCATTTTGGGCATGAGTGCCACCTCCAATCCACCTCTCTTTGTGAGCAGCTAGGCGCCAGTGTTTCCCAAACTTTTGACACATGTGTACCCCTTCTATAATTTTCATAATGCTGAGTACCCCTCGTACTCATGAGAACGTAGAATTAGGCACAGCTAAGCACAGTGCAGTGCATATCCCCACCAAACTCTTCCCGTACCCCTGGGGGTATGCGTACCACACTTTGGGAAACACTGATAGACAATTGCATGAGCCAGAATATTTGAATTTCACCACTTCCTGAAGGAAGAACTACCCTGGAAGCTGCCCATGAGCCAGTGGGCGAGGGGGGTGGGAGGAAATATGACGACTTATTACCTGAAGTTAAGAGTTCTTCAACCTCGGATCCACCGTGGGGGAGTAAGGAGCCACTGGACTTGGTCACCTCAGGGCGATTTTCATGTTTTGCAGTTTCCTTTCAGGCAGTCAACTTCTTCCAGAAACCTGCAGCAGGGCCCACAGGAAAAGAAAACCTGGACAGGTCACTCTGGGGTAAATACATTTTAAAATCTTGTATTAGGTAAGGGAGACAAGGGAGCTAGCTCAGAGCTCCTAGTTAAAGGGAGTAACTAGGCTGCCCACAATCCCTCCGTCAGCATCTGTACCACATGTGTCAAACACAAGGCCCGCGGGCCAAATCCGTCCCACCAGGCCTTGCAATGTGGCCCGCACCGCGCTGTCATCACTGCACTCCGCTGCGTTTCCATCACAATGACAGTTTATACTGTTCAGTAAAGCATTCGGCCCATGATTTAGGCTGGATTTTAGATTTTGGCCCCTTCTCTGATTGAGTTCGACACCCCTATGTTAGACTAACTACAGACACCCAACAGGGTCACGTGTTGATGGTTTAGTTTAACAAGAGAGATGTTAGTAGGAGATGCTTTCTGTTAAAAACAATGCCTTTTAAATGACTAAACACGGGTTTTGGGACATGGCCTTAAGAAAGATAATTATATTTTTCACTTCTCATACGGGGTCAAGCAATAACAACATTTAAGCAATAATTAAGTGTGCACTTTGCTTCGAACCCTGTTCTTATTGCATTCACTTAAACCTGAAAGATAACGCTACGAGGCTGATATTGTTTTCTTCATTTTACTGAGGAGAAGGCTGGGATAGAGAAGTGAAGGAACAAGGCAAGGTCACACAGCTGGGGTGGGGGGGGCACCAGAGGCCACCCTCACTGCTAATGTCACTCAAACCTCCCCCCCCCACCCCAATCAGGTGAGGTCAGTTACCTAAACGCAGACAAGGAACAAGGAGAAACAAGTCTTCAGAAAACATTGAGCCAACACAAAATGCCAGAAGAGCCGATACTTTAAGCATTTTAGCTTGCTCCCTGAAGGTTTAAGAAAATGTCCGTGAACCTTAAGCACGTCTGTGCATGCACAAAGCTGAGGAAGAAATCAGCTGGGAAAAGGCACCTGCTCATGTTAACAATGTGGGCACTGCCCTGCCCATCTCCTCCTGGCAAGACAGAGGGGTCTCTGCCCTGGGTTCCCTGCATCTGGGAGGGGGTGGCTCAAAGGAAGACGAGAGGCGTAGCTACCCTCTGCCTCCTGCCTCGCTCTGCCCTGAGATGGCAAAACTTTGGTTTTAGGTGGGGCTTTACTGACCTCGCTGAAGAGTCCCAGCGATTCCCATTCCACTGGCTAATTCTTGCCATCTGTGGACTATCTATCTTGGTCTTGATCATTACAAAGGCCTTCGGATGAATATCCAGGTATAGAACTGATTTGTCCTCTTAATTTATACCCCTTTGCCATCTTAGAAACCTGCGCCGTCTGACCGAGAACCCCATGTGCAAACAACCTGGCCGGAGCTCTGACTTCTAGTTCCTCAGCCTCAGGTGACACAGCAGCAGCAACTGCACGCAAAGTCCACAGGAAGTGCTGCTGGAGGCAGGCTCACCGTGGGGCTCCATCTAAGCCCCGTTCCCCACCAGGTCACACACTATCCTCCCACCCCTCACATGAGCATCCCAAGATCCACCGGGGCATCCTTTCCCTCTTTCCCACACTCCACAACCCCAAGTGAGCCTTCGGCTGGATGAGTTCAGCCACTTCCCTCGTCCCCTGGTTGCCTCCAACCAACCAGGTAGCTCTCCTCTTAGCCCCCTCCTATCTGTGGCCAGAGACAGGACACCCCCTGCTCAAAACACTTCAGCAGCTCCGCTCTGCTCCACGCCTTCCAGATAAAACCTCGAACTCCCTAGCAAGAAATGCCAGGCCTCCACCATGGCTTGCTCGCTCTCCAGCCCAACCCTCTTCATTGGCTGCCAAAAGCTGGAGGCCACTGAGATACCTAAGTTCCCAGCCTCAGCTGTGCCCACAGTGCCCTGCAGGTGTGGCTCCCTTTAGCACTCCATCACCTGGGAGCTCCTGCTTCCCTTGCCAGTGCCCTCAGGTTCCCTCTCCAATGTTGCTCCTACCTTTCCCGACACACCCTGCGGCCTCTACCTACCTCTGCCCCCCGCCCCACTGTGACCTTATTGTTAGGTGTCTCCCAGTACCACCCCTCACTTTTTCCCGCCCCCAAAGCTTAGATGAAGGTTTTACGTTCCAAAAGCCATGTGAAATTTCTTATTTGGGAAAGTGTTTCCAATACTTAAATGTACTTTATAGAAATAACAAACGGTAACAGGGATTTTGGCACTATATCTTGCAAAACAAAGGCCTTTTGGCCTTTCTTATATGCTTGCACAAAGTAAGGAAACTAAATAAGATGTGATACTTAACAATTATTTTTGGAAAACCGTCTTCTCTCTGAAAAAATATTCTTAGATGTAAGACAATAAAAGATACAACAAAAGAAAGACCACACCCTCTTCCTGTGCCACTTACTTTTAAAAGAGCCTTGACTCAAGGGAGGGGGCTCCAATGGGCAGAGGTACTGAGAGAGGGGCCCTTGCTAGGGGGGTAGGGCCAGCTCTGGTGCTGCCATCCAATCAGCACACGGCAAGAATGCTTTGGGGAGGGCCTGCCGGGAGTCGGGGCCACATGTGTGACCACTTGTGAGTTGGCCATTCCCGAGGGCAGAGAGGGACCCCTGGGTCCTCCATCAGGCTGGGAAGTGTGTCAGCTAGCCCACTGGAACAGAATGAGCCAGGAGGCGTATCCGCCAGGGAGGGTCTCCATGGGACCTGAGCAATGCTGTGCAGAACCGCTCTGGGGAAACACATTTCGAGAAAGAACACAGGTCTTTAAAAATGGGACCCCAGGGGAAGCCTGTCCTGCCCTCTAGCCCCCAGAGGGACTATGGCAGCTGAATAGAGTTCTGTTAAGACCACTTTGTGAAGCCCCAGGAGGTTACTGGAGCAATAAATGGGCACAGCTTAGGAAAAAAAAGGGCGAGACTGAATCAATAATTATGACAATCTTTGACAACCTTGTCTGGTAGCTATGTGCTAATTAACCTACTTCCCCACAGCATCCCAGGCCTCCAGGTTTACTGAGGGGATGAACGTGGACTTGTTCAGGTCTGTTCAGATTGTTATGGCCTTTGAGCTGAAGAGTAACACCCAGAACCTGTGGGGAGTTTGGTTGCTTTGCCACAGATAGATTTAGAGAACATTTGCCCAGTGAGAACAGGTACCTTGAGCCAGAGCAAGCATGTCAAACTCGAGGGCTGCGAGTGGCATACCTCGTTTATTTGGCCTGTGTTGGCCTTTGAGTTTGACATGGTTGGCCTAGAGGTTTGTACCAGGATTACTCAACAAGCATTTATCTAGTCCCTGGTGAAAGCCAGGACACTGGGAACACAGAGAGGAAGCAGCAGTCCTTATGTTCAAGATTCCTGCCATCTGGCTAGAGAGACAGTGTTTAAGTAAAGACGTGATGGCATGATCCCTGCAACAGGCAGGGCCAGGTCGCAGCTGACTCCAAGGATGCGCCTTTACCTTTAAGTGGCAGAGATTTGTGGAGCCATTATGACAAACTTCCAGCAGGTGGCGGTCAAGTGTTTTGAGGAAGGTGCGCCTTATCTCCCCAAGCTGTGGGCATGTATATATATAGCCTGGCTCCTGACTTCTTTTCTTTCTTCTTTTTTAAAAATGCTACAGAATAAGAGAAGAGAGCCTGGTCCTAAAAACTCAGGGAAGAACACCCTTTTCATAAAAAAACTTACTGCCTGAAGTTGAAGCAAGTTCTGGGAAACATCTGCATCTTGTTCTAAAGGAAACAATCGGATGCCACTGTAACTTGGTGGGAAAGGGAAAGGTGCTGGGTGAAGAGGGGGTGGGCCTGAAAGGCGCTCTGTGCTTCTGGTTGGGCTGCGGCTGGGGCAGCTGGGGCAGCTGGGGCAGGCAGCAGGGAGTGGGCCCAAGGAGGGCTGAGACTCAGAGACAAAGAGAGACACCTTTGCTGAGATCAGGGGAAGGTTGAGAGGACAGAAAATGGGAAGACTGTTAGGCAGTGGAGAAAAGGGATTCCAAGGGATCTTATATGGAGTGGCCTTTACCTTTCATCATCACAGAGAGCGAGGCCAACTGTGAAGCAGGGAGAGCCCCGTGGACAGGCTGGCAGGGGTGCACGGGGCAAAGGGTGCCCAGCAGCAGAGCCTGGCAGGTGAGGGCCACACAGCAGGCACTTATGCAGAGCCTGCCAACCAGGCCTGTGCCCTCCCTGCCACCTCCACAAGCAGCAGAGGAAAAGCTGGGATTCTCCCCCCGTGAGGGGCAGGTGGGAGTGGTCAGTACAGAGCCTCTGGAGCCAGAAGCCTGAGCTCAAGTCCCAGCCCCACCCCGTACTAGCCCTGTGTCCTGGGCCAATCCTGTGACCTCTGGGAGCTGCAGTTTCCTCACAGACTGAAGGAGCTCGATATACGAAAAGCACTTAGAAGGCTCATCAGGCTAACTGTGGTGATTGAAGTGGATGACCTCGTGTTGTGAAAAAGGAGCTCAGAAGGCTGGGGAAAGGTAAGCACTGATGTCAAAGAAAGCAAACTCAGACTGGAAATCTCAAGCTGAAGGAGCTCAGAAACAGTATGATAGAAGCACAAGGAGTGTGGAGACTGACTGGCAAGTGGACAAGAAGGAACTTAAAAGTGAGGAGCTCGGGACCAGGAGGGAGGCGATGAGGACAGGGAGCTTGGGGACCAGGAGGGAGGCGATGAGGGTGACTGGGAGAGGCTGGAGAGAGTAACCTGGGAGGGGGATCGGAGAATATCCCAGAGGTCACCGTTTTCAGCAGGAAATACTGAAGACTGAAGAATTTGAAAAGTGGCATTTTATTTTTTAAATTATTTTTTTTAATCCCCACCTGAGGATATGTTTTTAATGATTTTACAGAGAAAGGAAGGGCGAGAAACATCCATGTGAGAGAGAAACATTGATTGGGGTGCTTCCTGTACGTGCCCTGACCAGGGAACCTGCAACCTAGTTATGTGCCCTGACCACCACCATTTGGTGTACAGGACGATGCTCCAACCAACTGAGCCACCAG